CCGTGCAACTGTACAAACTAAATAGTTATATTTAGTTGTATTTAGTAAATCGTGCATGCGGTACGCAAATTAAATTGAATTGATACAAATGAAGCATTCAATACCGTCTTTCTTCAGGTCTACTTTTAGTACAAATTAGAACTACTTAGATTTTGTACAGTTGCACGGATTAAGTGCGTTCACTCTATTGGTGAGCCTTTGCACATTGCATTCCCTGAGTTAAGACGTGTCGTCAAATACGTGAGTTTGTAGAGTGCAAGAAATATATCCATGCAATACTTAGAGTGACCGCACTTAAAGCGTGCAACTGTACAAAATCTAAGTAGTATTAATTTGTACTAAAAGTGGACCCGAAGACGGTAATGAATGCTTCATTTGCATCAATTCAATTTAATTTGCGTACCACATGCACGATTTACTAAATACCAATAAATAATAAGTGCGATCGCTCTACGAAAAAATAATATTTACGAAATTGTGCTAAATTTTACTAAATTAGTATAAACTACGATTAATTTAGTGTGGTCACTGGGCCGTGGAATTATACTGTAAGGCGCTGCTATCACTATTGTAATTTAGTTTTGCACGGATATATTGTTTGAACTATAACTGTGATTTTTTACTTACCCGTAGCAGCGCAAGCGATTACAGCAGCGTCGTACTTGCCGGTGTGACCAACCATGTCAGGTGGTGCAAAGTTACACATCACAAAAGGGTGTTTTCCAGCTTCTACTGCTTTTATGACCTGGACAACATTATAAATGTGTCGTTAAGTCCATTTGAAGACGGAGAAGAAAAGATGAAGGGAAAAGATAACAAAGAAGAAGAAGAAGACAAGAAAAACAAGGAGACGAACAAAAACAAATAAGAAAAAGACGGTGTAGAAGAAAGGACAAGAACTAGGGTGGCCTAGTGGTTAAGCTGCTGGCCTCTCACCGCTGTGGTCCGGGTTCGATTCCCGGGCACGGACCATATGTGAGTTTGAGTTTGTTTGATGTGTTGTTCTCTCCCTTGCCACGAGGGTTTTTCTCCGGGTACTCCGGTTTTCCTCCCTCAGTAAAAAATCAACATGTGAGGAGTGATGTGTGCTAAAATACTTAAAGTAGAGGTAGTGAGTGTGAGAGTACAGGGTCCGCAGTAATTGGCTCACGCTGTTACGGTTTCCCTGCCCATACTAGGGGCAAAGCTAATAAATTAAAAGTTACATTACTAGGATAGAAGGAAAAGCCAGACGAGATGAATGAAGAGGAGGAAGACAGACACGATGGAAAAAAGGAAAAAAAGAAGACGGGGTGGAGAAAGTGAACAATAATGGATTACCAAAGAAGAGAAAGGGAAAGAATGAGTACAACTACTGTACAATAACGAAAGGGAAGAAAGCGACGAAGAAGCACACTAAAGAAGAAATAAAAGAAAAACTTCTGCAGTACCTGATGTAAATAGCGTAATTTCTCCTTTCAAATCAAGAAATTCTGACTTCCAATATACACCTAATTGAAGAAACGTTGTCGGGTCCAAAAAGGTCAAATCATAGAAGCTAACACCGAAAGGGTACTTGGGAAGACAAACAATTTGGCTAATTTCATAACAAACAGCTCTCCAGCATAAAAGACTATCATGCTGTTAATCTTACTAGCTCTACCTGCTTAATGTACACCGTATATGCAAAATGTAATCCCAATTTAGTGGTACTCAAAATCCCTTTCGGTCTTAGCTTCTATGATGTGACCTTTTCAAACACGACTACATTTTTTCAATTAGGTGTATAGGTGTTGTGGATATTACACATTTAAATTCAAATTTCCTGAATAACCTTTCATAAGCAAAATTTCAAACTGTTTGGATTATTTGCGATCTGTTTTAACGCAAGAAAAGAGGTGATATCACATGAAATTACCCATGATGCACCCGATATAATAGAGCGGTCACTGTACATGTAGCCCTCACCTCATCGGCAACACCAGCTGCGCTCATTGGTGGTTGGAGGTCATAAGTAGCTACTTTAGGCGATGGAACAAGCATACGGTCCTCTAGTTCAAACTGGGCTTCGACCCCACCGTTGAAGAAAAACGTTACGTGGGCGTACTTCTCAGTTTCTGAAGAAAAAGCATTGTTAGGATCATCGTCAAAATCAACTTTTTCATTCTTATCACCCTTACTAACCTGCGCAATGATACTGCGGTACTTTCTTTGTGCCCAGCCACTCAGCGAGGACGTTCTTAGGAACTTCAGGGGGAAACATTGCAGGGAAAGGAAACTCCTGTTTGTATTGTGTCATTGTAATGTGATGCTAGGGAAACAATAAAGAAGCATTTTCATCAACATTTTAATTTAATACCATTCTTCGTTTTAAAGTTAAAAGTAAGCTATACATTGTGTCAAGTTGAATCCGTTTTCTTTGTTATTTGTAGGGTTTTTACAGGTTCGTACATGTATTTTCCTTATGCACTCAAGGGCTTCCATACCGGTACACATGAGGGAGCCAGAGCTTGCTTCTGTAACAAGCTCCAGAAAAAAAACCCTTTCGTCTACATCAACGATTTCAATTCAAGTGAAACAAACCTTTGCTCCCGAGTATTGCCCTCTCGTATCAAATTGGTTAGATACGAGGGAGCAAGCTTGACAGTGGCAACCAAGGTGCGTGTTGCGGGAGCAAACTCCCTCGTGTGTACCGGCCTTTGTACAGATATTGAGACGAGAGGTTTACACAGATACAACCCACCTAATCGAATGCTGATAGAAAAATATGAGATATGAAGCACTACAAATATCAGAGAAAACCCACTCAAATACATATAGCAGAGAAATGCCTTAAAGCTCCATCACTCAGAATATATGGCTATAAGACTTGCTTCTCAGTATTCATTCTTTCCATACCAGATTTTTAGGGATGACACTTGTCTCAAAAGGTGGTTTAATTCCAAGTGCTTCGTTTATTTGCCTCATACGATCCGAACGGAAATCAATAAAACATATTGTATCTCCATCTAGAAAGTAAATGTAAACAATATTGCAACGAATTCATTACAAACGATTTTTGAGATGAACTTTTTTCATGACTTTCAAATGGTTTTACAAGAACAAAATATAAAAAGCTTATTTTATGCATGCATAGTTATCTATGATGCATGAGACCTTTAACTGTTTGCAATTTGGCGGCAATTGATATAATGTATTCAGGATATAGCAATCAAAGATCACAAATAAGAATATTCTTGATAACTTATTGTCCACATACGACCCTTGACAAAATTCCTTGACTTTCCTGAGCCAGTTTTAAGGAAAAATACGAAATTTTATCATGATTTCAATGTTTTCCAGGAATCATCCAAAAAACAACAACAACAACAACAACAACAAACAGACAAGTACTGTACCTTTAATCAACCCTTCTGGATCAATGATGATTGGTTTTAAGAATTCATCAGTTTGATGGTCATCCCCTTGAGCTTCATAACGGCCTTTAATAACCTGACAAATGATGTTCAAAAATTAAAAAAAACGAAAAGCATTATGTTATTTCTCCAACTGAGTAGGAATGCAGTTTAATAAAGTCACAAAACATCTTGTCCAACCAAGGGTGACCTAGTGGTGAGAGTACTGGCCTTTCACCCTTGCTGTTCCCACATATATTTTTCACAATCTATGTCAACTTTTCTTCCCTCAATAATATCCTGATATCCAATAATAACCTGTTGTGCTCTACAAATTTGCTTGAGCAATGGAGGAGTTTGAGTTTAATAGCATGTCTAAGTGCCTTAGTGTCAGTATTGTGTTCATAGTGGTACTTTAATTTAAGCACTTGAGCTTTGATTAAGGATGGTTAGCATCCACTGTCTTTTCCCTCCCCCCTCCTGACCTTAACCCCAGATGAAGTTTGATGAGAAGTTTACAATATCACGGAAACTTCGACTTACATCAATAACATTGTCAACAGTTGCTTTCTCTCCTATCCCTTGCACAAGTCCCTCATATGCTATCTTAATTCGTTCCCATCTCTTGTCTCTGTCCATAGCATAATAGCGTCCCATGATTGTAGCAAGAGAGCCATAGTTAAGTTCCTTCAGCTTGTCTAGTACTTGTTGCACATATTGAACTGCAAATCATTATAACAAAATTAATATTAAATAGTCATGGAACAAAAACATTTACATTAATACAAATAAAAGCTATACAATTTGAATGCCAGCTATTACAGCAAAAAGCACTGAAGGCCAGAAGTATACAAGAACCTTTGCACAATTTTCTTAAAGTCATATAAAAACTTTCAAACAAACGATGCAAAGGTTGATAAAACGTGGACCTTTAAAGTGTGACCATTAATATCTTATTTTCATTATTTCCCTACATGTATGTCTGGTAAAATCAGGTTCACTTTTTCATTTCAAAATTACTCTTTATGAATAACAAAATAACAGTTATTATTAATCTGCGAATGGGATGATTAAGTTAACATTGTTTGGACTCATAGAGTTTGCAAAGAGGTATAAAAAGGCGAATTAATTATTAGTGATGGTACTTTCAGAGTATGCTCTATAACCAGAAAGAAGATAAATAAATATGCACAAAGATTTTTCAAAACTCCATGTCCCTCTCAGTAACCCTGCTGGTATATTATTATACCTCCACTAGTGGGTCTAGTGTCTCTACCATCTGAGAAGAACTGCACAAATGTCTTGGGAACACCAAGTTCTTTGACTGCTTCTATCAACCCAAACAGCTGATCAATGTGGGAATGAACACCTCCATCACTAACCTGCAAAGAGATTTTATTTTTTGTCATAATCGTCATAATCTATGAGCAATCTGGAAAGAAAAAATGTTGATTACAAAATTTGATTACCAGTCCCAAAAAGTGGAATCGTCCATTTGACTTCTTGGCTCTCTCTGCTGCTTCTATAAGGGTTTGGTTTTTGACCAGTGTGCGCTGCTCAACTGCCATGTTAATTCTTACAATATCCTGGAAAGAGATGTTTAATAACTTAGTAATAGTACCATAAGAAAAGAAGAAGAGTTATAGAGACTGTACTTTGAAGTGAACAATGTCTGTTTAAGTCTCCTCCCACAGTTATTTTTAAAGTCTAAGCCTAAGAAAACTGGTGAGACTGCAGTGATTGGTACCTGAATTATCTATTGCTTTGAATTTGAATTCCTATCTACCAGAATGCACTGCACTCAATGGTCACCTTGCTTCTATGCAAAGGTATATGTATGGCTACCTAAATGGCTATCAAAATATTGCTGTCCAGTGAGCTTTGAAGAAGACTATCATATGTTGGTTGTATAGGAAGCAGACATGAGAGTTACAAAACATTGGTTTCAGCCATTTTTAGTGCGGATTTTCAGATCACTCAAATGTGTAAAATTTGTGGATTATTGAAGAACTGGTGGATTTACATGTATAGAAATTTTCTTTCTGACTTGCACTATTTTCTCAGCAGATTTGTGCATTCCACATTCCCTCATGGTGTTCCTAGTTGTTAATGTTAAATTACCTGATAAACAACTCGACCAGCCCCAATGTTAAGATGACCAACTTCACTGTTTCCCATCAGCCCAGCAGGTAAACCAACAGATAAACCTGATGCATCTAACGTAGTGTATGCACAGCCTTTACCAGCAGCAAATGCATCCATAACAGGGGTCTCGGCATGATATATTGCATTGCCTGGTGAAACATGACACCAAAATAAGTATGACAATATGAATTCCATGAGGAGCGAAAACTCTTCATATAATCAAAGGATAGGGGTGCTTTCTGAGAACTGTCACCTAAAAGGATCCAAAGAATTTCCAAGTTGTCATGACTGTAAATGACTTTATTCCCTAAAAGGTACCAACTTAAAAACTTCTATCTTTGATAAATTTTGTATCTTTTATATGGTAACAAAAACATTGCTTTGATCTATGCAAATGCTAAAGAGGTCTCTTTTTAAATGTATGTACAGTTGACATAAGCATAGTCTACTAGTGAAGTGGAAAGACTGTGCCTCAAGTTTATCTTGACCATATTCCAGTTTTTTACTATTGACAAGAAAATATAATTCAAACATTTAATATCTGCAAACGTTATTTCAGTTTATTAAGAGTGTACTGCAAAGAATGTTGGTAAATCTTTGTTTATTTATGTATTAATGGATGCTTAAAATTGTACATTTATGTGACACCAACACACAAAAGTCTTTTATCACTAAACACTGTATTGTTTAACTCACAACATCACCCACACGTACTGTGCATTTTTTATATTCATGCATTATTTTAAATTTCATTATGATTTTAAAATTATTTTTAATTAGAATTTTACTACATTTTAATTTTCTCGGTGAAAGCGTTAACTAGTATGCTTGAATCCTCATCAAATAGGTAACCATCAACAAAGGATATCAAGGATGATTTGCAGTTTCTGTCAGGACACACTATTTGATGGGACAAGCCTATGAGATGGAACATCTGGGCTGCACATCGCGAAAACAACAATTCCATTCCCTTAATGCCAATTTTATTTGAATTGAGCGTGCAACAAAGAATAAAACTTACAAATTTTGTGACATTTTTAAATCACCAAGACCATAGATAATAATGATTTTATATATTCAAGCATTTGGAAAAAATTTGCAGGTAAAAGGCTGAAGTAACTTACCGGGCTGCTGAAACGTGCAAGGAGTCATGGCCGAATGTTAGTATTTACCTTCAGTTTTGTCAACTATACCCCATCCATCGATCACAATTAAGCACACTTTATTCTTGATCTCTGCCATTCTTGGATGTTTTGTAGACTTGAATAATTTCAGCAGAATTTACAGAAGGCTTGAGATCGGCGAGTGACAGACAAACCGATCGTATCGTGGAAACCGCGATACAACCAGTCAGCGGTACTATATCTACACAGGAATCCCAAATGAGCTTGTGCTGTTGCAGGTGATTTTCCAATCTCGTACCCAGAGCCCACACTTTTGCCATCCGCTGACATTAGCCGTGAAGACTCTGGGCTCGAGATAGGTGATTTTCGTCTGTCAGTAAAAAAGGAATTTTATTTTAAGAAATCCACAATAATACTTAAAACAATTGACTATTACAAAAGTGGTATTAGTAATTGTATTTCATTACGTGGTATTTAGACCAAGACACCATTTCAGGGATCCAGACATTGCGTTTCACGGTCGCAAACTGTATCGCTTCTGGCCTTTTTGCATACCTTTTATTTCTTCTTTATTAATTCATAAAACACCATATCTAAAGCACAATAGAAATTTCTACATTTTGAATACACGCTGATACGTAAACTTATGTAACTCATTTTAAATCCCTGTCGGTAAACTAGAATCCGGGACACCCGGCGCTTGAATTATGTACCTATACCGAGTTCCTTGGTCGGCTCACCTATTTTTTTAAAGAAAGGTGCCGTAAGAAATTGCCTAAAACTGTTTGTAAAGAGCGAGGTATTGATATTCTATAATATCACAGCGATAAATTGTTCGATATAATGAAAGGTGAACAAAAGCCCTTTTATCAGGAACACGGAATGTAGATAAGGTGTCATCATTCATAGTTCAATATGAGTTCAATTGCCATAAACTGAGTCTAAACTCAAGCATTAATGTAGTTTTCTTCACAGTCTACGGTCCATAAGAAAAAATGACAATAAAAAGACAAGCAGAAATAAACAAAATTCGACTCAACTCAGAAAGACGCAAATTAGACCTATGCCGCTTGTTTTACCAAGGCAACGAACCATTTTGAGAAAAATCTCATGGTTTTATTTAGTTTTAAATTAGCACATTTCACAAAGGCTCGCAAACTCTTTCACTAGTAGAAAGTGCATGTTATGAGTCTGTCTAGCAGTTCTTAACAAGTGTGAGTTCCATGCAAATACACAAGTTTTAATCAGGAAAAGTTATCGCCTGACAGGCCCTTTTATAAGGTAAGCATAGATAATGTTTTACGGTTTTAAATTTGTCATATCGTGCTCAAAAGGTGAAAAAACCTTACATGTATATGTTTCTCTATATATTTATACTTAAGACATTTTTGTTGGCATAGTAAAAATTAAAACTCAAATGCTAACAAGATTGATTCATTCAAAGTTGAAATTTTAGGCGTACTTGACTTGCAAAAATTCACCACTTGTGAGGGTATCAAACTGCGACATTATTTGGCAGAACTATAAATGCATCTATACAATGATCTATATGTATAATGGCTTCGGTACGGTTTATATAGCTTAATATGACTGATATCGGTTTAATAGCCGACGATGAAGCTACAATGATCTGATCCCACGCAGTGAGTAGCCATTATGAAAAACAGGTCACAGTATTGAGTGCAAACACTAACACTAAAACGTTTCAGTTAAAATAGCATAAAATACAGAGTTTTATGTACTAAATTATGCGAATTCCAATGTATTCTATGATTATATCAACAAGTAGCAGAATTTTAATACTTGTGCATACACTCCGAAATATTTGATATGACTGAAACCGGCTTTACGAGATAAAATAATGATTTCATAATGATGATCAAATCCATATATTGATCATATATCAGCGATCCATAAACGATAAGATCTATATTCAGTTCCATAAAAAGTGTTTTGGTTTACCGAGTGCTGACAGTCTTGATCAATTTTTGAATCATGACATTTGTCACTTGTTTTGATATAGGTTATTTTTTTTTCGTCTAGCCCGGCAGCCATTTCAAGTCTCAATATATTCTACATATCTCTCCACTAGCTTTTCCTCTGTTTGACTTCTTCTTTAAAGGACTAAACGACCTGTATTCCTTTGTGCCATTCTTATATATTCATTACAGTTCGCAGGCTTTTCTTTCTTCCTTCCTGTCTCCCTTCCTTCTTTCCTAATTCCTTATTCTTTCTTTCCTTCCTTCTTCATACCATGATTGTATTTTTATTTTATTCACTTTTTTCTTTGTTGTCCTGTTTGAGTCTTTCTTGCCCTTCCTGGAAACACTTCACTTTCTACTTCAAATGATAATTTCCTCCCTTCCTTTACTCATATTCAGAGATAAGTTATTTTTCAATACTCCATTTTCGAATTTCAAGCGAATAACCGCTGTTTTATTTGACAGCAGATTCAATTACGCAAAGAAGAACTTACCAAACACAAAAGAAAGTACGCGAAAATATTGTTAGTACAATAGCGCTAACAATTTACATTTTCCTGGAGTTGAGGCTAACCCTGTATTTTAATACAAAAAAAGCTTAAGACGCAGCTACAGTAACTATGACCATAAAAGCGCCATGTACTGAGCAGCATCGGTATAAACCGATGCGATCGGTTCACGATTTACGATTTACGATGCGATCCAGTCACTTGTCAGTTTTCTCAAGAAGAAGAAAGAACGTAACAAATAACTTAAACGATATACTAAAAGCGACAGTGTTTATTGGCAAGCCTGATTGCGGGCACTCCATGCAGAATGTGTTTATATATCACAAATTTCAAAATTAATTGACATCCTGCAATGCGTTATCTCATGATCCTTATCACTGGTAACAATACCATCTCTATAGTTAGATACTGTTTCGATACTATTTGAATAAGAATGGCGACGTTTCAGACGTTTTTTGTCAGTACTCTTTAATTCAACCTCTCCTGCTTCACTAAAATCACTTTATAGAATAAAATCGCTTTAATTAAAAAATTCCTGTCTCGGTATGCACCAAAACGTTTTGATTATGTTTTTCAGTTTGGTGCGAAATTAATTTCTATCAATTTCCACGTACGCGCGCGTCGCACTGATGATGCTCATCGTCATGCAGCAACACAAGCATTCAGTTTAGTGCTGATTTTTTTTTAGAAGAAAGGTGGATGACCCATGGCATAATTGTTTTCAAATTGCTCGATTTGAAGTGCTCAAAACTGATATATTTGAGAACTTAGGTCTCGCATAAAGTTATTTAAAGATTTCCAATCTAAAAAATTGCGAACGAATTAAAAGGCTACGTTGAATCCCAAATCGCGATCTTCGACCTGACTGTTCTGTTAGAAAGCTACGCAGAATCTGATCAGAGGGAGAATGAGAATGCCCGGGATGAAGCTCGGGACATATCCAATGCCATGGCGCGCTAAACCTGCCATTTCTTATTTGATGCCAGCACTATATGGGGACCATCTGTCAATTAAGTAGTGTATCTATTTTTTATTATTATTATTATTATTATTATTATTATTATTATTATTATTATTATTATTATTATTATTATTATTATTATTATTATTATTATTATGTAGTTTATTCAAACTTTTGCTGTCTCTTCATTTACAAGAATATAGCGGAATTTACAATTCTAGGCTATATTTGATATTTTGGCATTACGAGTTCATTCTAGAAAATGTGGAAGGCCTTTATAATTTCACAGTTCTGTGAAATGATCCATTTTTGACATTTCTTTAACAAATTTTGTCCGTTGTCTATACCTATTCTTTTTATATCCTGCACTAGCTGTTTGTTATAACCAGCTAAAAAATCTAACACAATGTTGACTTGAATGACATTATAATCAGGATTAAGGCTTTTTAGGCCTGAGCGCAAGTCACTGTATTTTTGTTGTTTTAAAAGAGATCTTTCATCGATGCAACCTATGTTATTATTATTATTATTATTATTATTATTATTATTATTATTATTATTATTATTATTATTATTATTATTATTATTATTATTATTATTATTATTATTATTATTATTATTATTATTATTGTGTTACCATACTGGATTGGAGTCACAGCTCAACGCATTTACTTACATCACGTTAAGTGATCGCAGTCATCTGAGAAACAGACAGTGTTTCCATAGAGATAAATTCAGTTTCCATTACAATGCCCAATTGTATATTAAAACAGACTGAGTTCGTACAGCAACACGCATAATATCTAACAAGGATAATATCTAACAATGGATAAGCACAAATCATTGTTGTAAAGAGGCCGGTCCATAGCTATTAGAAAGTCTTAGATACGCGTTTACGTCGAAAGCCAAACGTCAAAACTGATCACGTGATCACTGTTTTTCTGTATTATCCTTTTGAAGCGTTTTTGCGTTTATTTCAAATTTCGAGACAAAGTATAAAAGCCAATTTGACGTTTGGCGTTTGCAGTAAACGTGAATGATCTAAAACTCTCTATTATTGAAATAGACTATCGGATGTTCGTTGCAGACATGTGACTACTACAGAGTATTTACTAAAATGTGCAGTATCAATTACATGCACATTAATTGTAACATTTGATACTCCTTATGGAATGATTGCCACCATGTTTGAAGAAATACGCTCAAAAATCTATTTGCATGATCACGTGTCACCTAATAACAACTACCAGAATGCCTTGAGCATTTTCTTTTTCATTGAGATTTTTTACACCTTTTAAGATTAGAAAAAACAATATGGAACAATTGCATTTAAATAGTACAAACTCCAAAGAGATTAAAATATGAATGGAAAAGAAAATACCCAAGGCATTCTTTTAGTTGTAGTTAAGTGATGCCATCATGCAAATAGCTATTGAACAATGGCTACAACATTAAATCCAAGACAGAAATGTTTCCAAAAATGTAACTGCATGCGATCGCGATTAATCAAATCAATTATTTTTTTAAAGAGCTTCAGTTCAATAATATCCTTTTTGCCTGAGATTGAACAAGTCAACCAACGATTGTTCATTTCAGTGCACGCGTTCAATTGAAAGCCAAGTGCACCTGTGCACCTTGATTTGCATGCCACTTGGATTTCCTTTAAAAAATGCAGATGTGTTAACTTGAAGCTAGGTTTTAGCAATGAATATAGTGCTTTATCTAATCTCGGCATTTAAAGGCAATATGGCGAATATTACGGATGATCTGTGTGAGACTCTAAAAGCAGCAGCGCGAACTAACTCTTTCTTTAAAAAACTCGTGCATATCTACTGCTCATATCATATTCATTACATGTGACATCCATCTTTTATTGATAAAATCCATCTCATGCTTAGAACCACGAAATTTATGCCTAGCTGGAATGTTGTACAAACATCGAATTACATGTGCAGCAGCGTAAAATGGCATTTCTTTCAGATGAGCGCTGCGTTTTCAAAATGATTCCCATTCAGTTTTAAATTTCTCCTTTTAAGTGTTCATAACATAATTTCTACACTTTTGAACCTTACAGGCGCTGTAAGAGGGTGTTCCCACTCCTTAGATCGACCTTGAAGCATTGGTTTAAATGCTCGAAACACTCTGGGAAATAATCAATAAAGCTCTCGCCCGCGCATGTTGAACGAAATAATATATCATATGGTGAATAAAAGCTGAGTCCACCTGAACGATTATGTACACATCTTTGAGCATTAAGAATAACCACGAAATCTATGCTTAGCGGGCGTGTTAGAGCAAGTCATGCTTAAAAGGTTAATCCCTCTTATTTAGGACATTGATTTTGCCATGGAAGAAGCTCCGGCAGATACCACACCTTCTGAAACTCCACCTCCTTCTACCCCGGCAGCGGCTCCACCTCCACCTGCAGAGATTCAACCACCACCCCCTCCGCCTCCAGCATCAGAACCTATTAAAGAGGCAAGCGATAAAAAGGAATCAGTCCAAGAAAAGGAAGGAGAGTAAGTCATTAAAGCTTTAAATATAGGGTTTTCTCCTTGACAAGAATTAGCAATTGTTCTGTCAATGACTATTTCATTTTCTGCTGTTTTTCTGTATTTCTCTTGCACCATCATCGTTAGTGCTATGATATGTCACCACAGGAACATTTCGATTGCATTTATAATAACAACGTTAAAGGATAAAAAACATTAAACTTTAAATGTTTAAATGATTTGAATTAGTCAAACACGGCCAATATGGTAACCTTAGCTTTGCTTCTACGAACTAACAACTTCCATGTTTTCACTCCACCGCAAATCCTTAGCATGGGACATTATGTATATCTGATTACATAAAAGATTTGCTAATGTTCACTAGTACTTGATAAAAGAATCAATTATACACTGTATTCACTGCCGACACGTGTGGTAATACGTCATGTTGTATAACTAAAAGATTCTACGCATGCGCGAGTAATGTTTTGAAAGTTCTTCGGTAATTGCACGAGCCTGATAGGATTCAAAACATTAACTCCTCTCGACCAATAAAAAAAGTATTGTTTTGTTGAATGTAGTATAAACTATTTAAAAAAAACTATTAAAACTGGTATATGTCAAAAGAACTAGCATTTTGGCGTTATTTCCAAAGTTTACAGTCATATAATAAATTAGTAATGTTTACCAAGAGTACAGTGCATTTTATTTAGGAGAGGAAATTAAATGAGTGAATTTTACTGAGGTTTTTTTTCCGAAGTGTTAAGAGAAATTCGCGAATCTTCATGGCATAGCTTGTGTTTGTGAAGATTTTAAATCAGAACTTGAATGGAAAGCAAATACAACCAAGGTCAGCAACCTTACTGAAAGCGGCATATCCAAAGTCAAATTCCGTTGATTTGATGTTAATGGATCTTAATGCTGATGCTTCATCAAGTGTTTAGAGCAGTTTGGTTGAAATTGCCAAGCATCGAAACAAACTTGAAATTTGAGTATGTATAGAAATATTTAAATGGATGCAATAATCACGAAGCCAAAAAAAATATTGGGATAAAACTTGACGTAAGTCATGTCATCTTTTTTTGTGCTAAAATTTATCTGCTTTGGGATGACGTAAAGTAGATAATATTATAATTCTGATTAAGCTACATGAGATTTGGCGAAGTCATTTCCCACATTTCAAGTTGAAACTCCTTCTTTATAGGGAGTGTGATCAGCCAGACAGCACTCGATCTTGTAACAGTACGCTAATGACCAACGACCAACTTCCAAAATGTCAGTAAGTTAAGTTTGCTGACGCAGCGAGCGAACAAGTCAGATCAAGTCAACAGATTTAGTTCTTGGACAAGAAAATTAAGTGAGACGTAACAAGCGCGAGACCCATAACTCCCTTTATTGTAACCAAATAATGCATTCCGACAAATATTCGACGTCATTTAACATTTAAGTTTTACAGTGTATAATTTATTCTTTTGTTAACGACTTTTTCATTGAAAAAGACTGGCACAGCTTGCTAGTGTAATAATACTTATCTCACATTGCGCATGCTCAGATGTGTGTAGCCTCCTCAGCAGGCGTCTCTCTTCTTTTCCGCTTTTTTACATTTGGTGTCTTCATCAATATTAATGAGGGAGAAAAATGAGAGGGCAAAATCGTGAAGTGGTGACTGAGGAGGCTCAAAATGAGTAATTAATTAAGGGTATTAATTTGTCCTAGTTCACCAGGCCATGACGATCGTCCAGCATTTCAGACCACTAGAGAACCTTCTATTGAAAGAAGTAAACTTCCTACCAACAAAGCTATTGATTTCCAGGTAGGAAATACACACATCAAATTAATTGTGCTAATTGCGAAGGAACTCCGACAGACTGTACAAGAAGATTCTGAAGATTTCTGGCCGGCCAAACTCGAAAGCAAAATGGCGGATTGAAAAAAAATCTCTTCTTCGTTCTTTTATATTCTAATGCGTGACGTAACTGTTGATAGGTTCGTGTTCGTGTCGTCGAAGGCCGCAATATCTCGGGATCAAATATCTCCCCCGTTGTCAAGGTAACAGTCAGCAACCAAGTGCGTCAAACAAGAGTAAAGAAATCGACCAATAAACCATTCTTTGATGAGGTAACAAAATATAGACGCGTGATCTAAAATGCTCAATATGCGTTATGACGACTGATGCCAACGACGTCATTTTTCAAGCAAAACATGACGGTATTTTTTCTAAATGGGCATTACGATGACGCACAAAATCTGCTATCTTGCGCCTTTGCAAAGATACACGTATAATTTTCTGTTTCTGCAAGTAAATGGGACATAAAAACTGATTTTTTATGATTATTTCAGCGAAAATAAAGAGATAAACTTTCCATCATGCTTTATTATGACGTCGTTGCACATCATCTACTTGCATAAAATATAATACATTATATGGCCTCCCTAAACATCTGATTGATCGTCTACAAGCTGTCCAAAATGCCTGTGCTCGTCTTGTCATGCTTTCTAAAAAACATGACCACATTACACCTCTGCTTATCAATCTTCACTGGCTTCCTGTCTCCGCACGTATCAAGTTTAAAATTCTCCTTCTGACTTTTAAAGCTCTTCATGGCCTGKCTCCTRTTTATGTYCAAGATATGCTTAAAAACTATCGTCCTTCTCGTTGTCTTCGTTCGTCGTCTCAACTGTCACTGTCTTCCAAGTCTTACAATCTTAAAAGTTATGGTTATCGTTCTTTTAGTGTTGCTGGACATTTTCTGTGGAATTCACTCCCATCTTCAATCAGAGACATTTCTCCACTTGATAATTTTAAAACTGTTTTTAAAACCTTCGTATTTAAACAAACTTATGATCTGTAACTCTATTTTAACTTTCTTTATCTTAATTTTTACCTTTTTATTTGCGCTTAGAAAAAGTTTTATAAGCGCTTTATAAGCTTAGATTATTATTATTATTACAACTGAAAACCTCTGCATTCTTTACCACTTGAGCTTAAGAGTGACAATGTATATGGGATTATATGAGGGATCAGGGCGTTTTGGGGAGGTTCAGGTAAAAAATTATCATCTTTTTAGGTGAGCCATCGGGAGCGGTCAGGGATTCTCAAAACTTTGGGATAGGGATAGTAGTGTTAGAAATCAGGATTCATATGATAGAATGACAGTCTCTTGTAGCTATAGAGTACTTATTAACTTTCTTTTTAAGATATTCTTCTTCAACTTCAAAATCATCGCTTCCGAGCTGTTTGATCAGACGATCACTTTCGAGGTATGGTCATTTTACGTCACATATCAACCACTACAAACAAATGCAAATGACAAAATGTTATTTTATCTTTAAGTTGTAGTTGTCAAATCATTTTTTTAAATAAAGTTTAAAAGATTCTTGGACAAAGTGAATGGTTTATTCAGTCATATATCTCAGACGTTTTTGAATTGTAGCGCGATATCCTAATGATTTAATCGTTTTATGGCAGATTTTTAACTCAAGAAAATTAAGATCGAATGCTATGATTGGAACATTTTCGGTAAGTATGATTGTTGTCGTTATCTAGACCGAATTTCTTTACCGACATAAATAATGGTAGTGAAAGAATACTGGTGGAAAACTGCTTCCCATTCAATAGTCTTCCTTCACGGGCCCTGTGCCATCTTGAAAGGTAATCATGTCTTTATATACATCGAAACTAGATGACAGATAATAACACTGGAAAAAATCGCAAATTTGAAGTAAATATGATGTGAGTGTTCAAAATTCTGTAAATTTGATGGAAATGATTTCCATTAAATTTACAGAATTTTCGACACTTACATCATATTTACATCAAATTTGCAATACAACCTTTAAGCGCGCGATTTTTTCCAGTGAAAGATTGTAAATGTACTTGACTATTCTGCCTATAGATATGCAGAAGAAGGTTTCTATTTCTTCACATTCACTGGTCGTCTAGCTTCGATGCAAAGGCATGGCTTCCGCCTTTCAAGATTTCGTAGGGGAGCGCATGATATTGGTCTAGCTGTGCTTGGGGGAGTTTCTCTGATTGTGGGATTGCTATTTGTGACGATTATGTCATCGTGCTGAGTGACCGAACCGTAACCATCTACTTGTAGCAGGCGTTCCTTGCGAGTCCTTGCAATGTTTAAGTTGAAAAGAAAAAAATCTATAGAAAAAAAAGCAAACAAACAAATGAAGTAACAACAGCAAAGAAAAGAAGAATAGAAAAAAAAGAAAGTAGAAAAGAAAACAAGAAAACAAACGAAAAAGAAACAATAAACAAGCGAAAAAAGAGAAATTCCAGAAGCAGGACTCGAACTCAGAACTTTCTCTTCAAGAGAAGATGTACCCCCCCCCCTGAATATATAAGAAATAATGAAAATAAAAAAACTAAAAAGATGGGACGATTCCCCCGAGACATTCTATGAAGCTGAGGCGTCGAATCGGCTTACGTTACGGTTAGAGATTTCGGCTCTTCCACGCTATCCCRAGTGAACATAAAACTTAGTCTTAACCAAAAGGCCAGGGAGTGAGGGGGTAGCCGCCCACTAGAGCATACCTTTAGCTACCCTCTTAGACCATCGTTCTATGAAGACACTTATAGATATCTGATATCTAATGGGGGTAGTCTATTCGGTGAAGTTCTCTGCGAGTATATGACGTCACCAAAATCCTTAGGGATCAGCGAGCCAATCATAGCTCAGCCGGGATAGCAAACGATACAGCCTTTGCATAATCATTCTTCAGTGGATTTATTATTTGATGGGGGTTGGGGATGGGTGCTGAGTGATGGTTTGCGGCCGAATGCCGATGTTCGATGCAATATGACGGCTTTTCACCAAGCTGTTCAATTGTCGTTATTGTTTTCCAAATCATCACAGGATAATTAGGTGTACAGTCCTTATATCAGTCAGACAGACATTATTAGTATTCGGATAAACACCATGGCACAATTCTCTTTGAATTCTTAATGTAAGCGGTTTACAAACCAGGCAGATATTTGCTGGAATTCAAGACCTCTAGAACGTGCAATGTTCGTTCTTGATGCCTATAAAAGTTTACACATTATTTAATATAAACATAGTGAAATGTTGGATATATAGGATGAATAATAATCCGTATACAATTGATAAAGAAATCGAAGAAGCAAGCTTTCGGTTTTATTGCAAAACTATAATCAGGCGAATAATTGTAATTTTAAAACATGGATGTAAAAATATAACTTTTTTTCTGAGTGAAATGTTCGAGAATTAATCATGAGTTTATAAGTCAACAGATATAGAAAGATGTCTTGGATTACAGCTAAATTAAGGCTCTAAGGACCGCTCCATGTCGTGGATAAAATTCCTTTTCCGAATCTCTTAAACGGATATGTTTACTGTAGGCAGGGAAACAGGGCGCCCCGCGTCAGGCCCCACGGGAGGAATGATCAACCATCACAATAGGTTCCTTGGCCCCTGGGAATCGCCGTCTGTTGTGTATTCATAGGAAACGTAATGGTTGATCGCCACGTATACTGAAGATAGTGTATTCGAAGTTTACTAAATCTCTTAATGGTCTGAATCACCGCGTCCTCGACTGTCTATTTTTGATTAGTGTCACATAATGCAGTCTCTGATTTGTTCGTGTCCGCGCTGCTGTACACCGCCACTCACGCTAGCTGTTTGTCATCGTCGCGCAGTAAAACTTCCCCCATCATGAAAAAATTAAATGACAATTATAATAGTTATTAAAATTTTTGGTATTTCTTCCTTTTACAGAGTGATGTTGGATTTTTCTACGATCAAAAAGGTAAAGAGGAGTATCAATTGCTTTTTTAACTGCCAAAGTTTTTTTTTATTTTATAACAAATTCAACCCGCAGTGAAACACGAAAAGTGAAGTTCCTAGATTTTCAAAAACACGCGGGTATAGTGCGAAAGTAGAAACTGACTCACGCAATAAGACTGAATACTGTGGACGACCTCAGAAGTCCTTTTGTTGCCTCCAGTAATTGATTAATGCATTTTCAATTCTATTTGTTTGCTTTTTTAAAATGTTTTTTATTGCTTCGAATAAACTCTATTTCTTTAATTTTTCCAAAAAAAGTTGTTTGCTTCGATTTTTTTTTAATTTTATTTTTTTGTGTACGTCTATGGTGAAATAATTGATATCCTAACTTGATAAATGATATATTTCTATATCTATCCCTGATGTACGTACAATAGATCATTCAGTTATACGTCGATGGCTGCTGTTAACAGACCCTGAAGATATCATGGCTGGACCAAAGGTAAAGCGTAAAGTTAACATATCCACAGATGGTCGGTCCTGGGTCGGGGCGCGGCATTAGATTAAAGGGCTATGGTCAACTAGGATCGCTTGCGCGTTTTATTTTTTGAAAAAGTTGCGCCAAAATCTAGTCTAATGGCGGAAACTGATTCTGAATGGAAGTCTCTTCATTTTCCGTAATTAAAAATTTAAATAGGTCCGCACTTAATGCTATTTGACCACGTCCCTTCATGAGCAGACCAAGAAGTCGAGACTGAAGTGCTCGCACTATTTGAAAGAATACTAAAATAACGTGAAGGGTTACAAAACGCAAAAACCACATAGTATCATATAACCGAGCAGCACCATTTGACATTGAGCAGTTCAAAGTGTAAAATACATGCAGTTATTGCATATCTTGCATTATTATCTTACTTGATAGGGTTATTTAAAGGTCACAGTCATGGTATTGGGACCTGGCGACGAAGCACCGGTAAGTACCGTTGTATTCACTTAGTAACATAGCTGCATCTTGTCCTCAAGCATGATAGCCACGAAGAGGCCGAATGCGCGCAAGTGTTCGTAGCCTCATAAAAGAAAGGTTAGTCAGTTTATTTATCCCTAACATTTATTTTTTCGTAATTTGAAGGAAGTGTCCGAGTCTGCTGGACAAGACGATGAGGATGACTTAGAAGAGTAAGAAATTGTGCACTATTTGCTAAACGTTCATGCATATGTGTTTATTATATTTCAGTACTCAGCCGTAAATTAACGACGAATGTTTACGGATTTAGTGCGAATTCTTCACATATGAAAAATCTAAAACTGTGCGACCGCATTGAATGCCGGTACACCATGGTCCTTTTAGAATTCATCATGTTAATTGTAGCAATTTGTAGTGAAAAGTTTTATTTCCCTTCAACCCCATTAACCGCCGTATATCGCAGTAGTATAGTAGTCGCTCCTAATGGTTAATCTAACCGTTATTTAACAATTTCCAAATATATCCCAGTTCCATGACGACGTAACTTTTATACAAAAATCCGCAATACAAAAATTTTAATTTCACATTCACACGTACCGGAAATTCGAAAATTTTACACGGTCGTCGGACAAATGTAGAAGAGACCTCTAATCGCAAAAAAAAAAAAAAATTTTCGGATATAAAAATGTTATTGCGTGAGCGCAGACTAAAGCTTTGCTTTGATTTACAGGAATTTGCTTCAACCCGCTGGTGTGATGCTCAGGCCAGCGGCCTTCTCATTAAAAGTCTATAAATTGGAAGACATCCCTCAGAGTAAGTGTTTCTTCGTTTATTTCTATTGCAACGCAAAGCAGCAACTTGCAACGGCATTGCACAGCGACCCTTTGCATCATCAACTTTCCTAACAAACTTTGTTTTATTGAAAATGTTTCATGAAATACAATTGATGTCACGCAACGTGTCACAGCGCATGCTTATTAAGTGCAGTTAGAAGAGTGCTCTAATGTACCGAAATTTGACGCGATTATTGTAAGACTGTAAATGGCTCGCTCCTAACAGAGCATCCAGTACTCGAATTTCCTGGAGTCGTCATTTCATGGTATAATTCTTTATGATCATGGCAATATCTGGAACTTCTCCTGATAATTCAGTTTGAAATGTGTTTATAAACGGCCCAAGACAATGAGAGAGGCAAAGCAGTTGAAGGGCTTGCCAAATCAGTGTACTGAAATCACAGAATTGAGTGCAGTAAATAGACGCACCAGTATGGTGGCCCATTGACGCCATAGTGGTTTTTGCACTTTTTGTGTAACTTTTTTAATTTTTTTGAATTTTCATTTGATTTAATTTTTTTTCTATGTTAATTTAATTAATTTTTTTATAATTTTATTTTATTTTATTTTCATTTTATTTGTTTTTTTTTTATTTTATTTTGTTTTAAATTATTTGTATTTATTTCAGTTTTATACTTTTTTACTTCACTTTGTTTTTTTATACTCTCTATTCATTATTTTTCAATCATTGTTTTAGTTTGTTTTATTTCATTTTGTTTCAATTCATTTCATTTCAAATGAAATAAAAATGAAAAAAATACGACAGCCCAGCGACGCCATAGACCATGATTCTTTTCGGGCATCAATCACCGGTAAACATGGCGTCTCGAATAAGAAACTCAAACTGGAAAGAAGACCAAGAGTTACAAGACTATCTTGAGCGAAATGTAAGACGTAATTTGAAGCAAGAGGAGATACTAGATTTAGTACAAATTCATTATCCAATGTATGCTTGGAGTAAAAGAACTCTTTCACGCCGGCTTCAACACTTCGGGATCAAGTATATTGATTATGAGATCGATGTGGAAGACGTAAAACGAGCAGTCACTAAAGAGATGGACGGACCTGGGCGATTACTAGGTTATCGTGCTCTCCACAAAAAAATCAAGGAATTACATGGTTTAAGTGTGCCAAGAAACTTGGTTTATAACGTGATGGCTGATGTTTATCCTGAAGGTCTCAA